ATCATGACCTGAGTCAAAGTTGGAGGCTTAACCGACTGAGCCACGAAGTTTGGTGTAAATTGTTACAGCAGCCAATACAGACGTTGGTGACCTCTGAGGTACATTTGTAAGTGCGAAATGCCAGGCGGAGAAAAGTGTGTTTGGTGTGCTACCGTTTATCGGAGAGAGGAGTGAACACAAACACAGATGTGGACGTATTTGTGTATATGCATATATTCACACGTATATATGTGTGCAGCCTGCGTATATGCCTGTGTATGCACTTACATATGCCTATGTATCTGCTTATACTAAAAACTGAACAATGCAGGAAAAGGCAGTATTTCCTAAATGGTGACCCCTAAGGAGAGGGAAAAAAATAGGGTAGAGGCAAGAGTAAAAACAACTCCTTTGAATACACCTTGTTTGTCTTTGGAATCGTGTCAATATCTTACATAACTAGAAAATAAAATTGAGGAGCGCCTGGGTGGCTCCGTCGGTTGAGCGTCCGACTTGGGCTCAGGTCATGATCTCATGGCTTGTGGGTTCGAGCCCCGCGTCGGGCTCTGTGCTGACAGCTCACAGCCGGGAGCCTGCTTCGGATTCCTTGTCTCCTTCTCTCTCTGCCCCTCCCCCTGCTCGTGCTCTGTCTCTCTCTCTCTCAAACATAAATAAACGCAAAAAGAATTTTTTTTAAGAAATAAAAATAATAAAATAAAATAAAAATGCAAAGTCCAAAATAAAGCGAAACACACGTGCCCAGCTGATAGTCACGTAGGATGGAAAGATTCCAAGTTACTTTAAAACACGGTCAATTTGAATACATATTCCTAGTGAGGTACACCTTAAAATAACTGGGGGAAAAATGCCAGTTTCTAGTTACTTATATTATTGGTGGTCGTGTTGGTTCCGTTATTCTGAAACTGTGGTGTGTGTACGATACAGGACAAAGAGAAGGAGTAATTACGTGATATTTTCTCATCCCTTTATCCTGAAAAAAAAAAAAAGAAAGAAAGAAAGAAAATATTGCCTACCTATTTAAAAGGCCTAAAAACAATGACCAGCCCAGTATCGGTAAGTGCCTCTAGCACCAAGAGACCCAACCCTCCATGGAGAAATGACCATTTCCGGGTCACGCGGGATAGCAAGGGAGCCAGCTAAGGCTGTTCCCCAAAACCAAAAAGGACCCAGGAGCCAACCAGGCAAGGTCCCCCCGCCAAAGACAGGGGAATTTAAGCATCGATAAGGGTAACAACTCGAATGGATTAAAGCACACCAACCATGTTTAAACCGTGTGTTGATAATAACGATACTAAGAAAACCGTGTGGGCTTTTTTTTTTTTTTTTTCAAAAACCAAGAACAAATCGGTGACCACTGTATAATGCTAGGAAAGCAATCCGCTATTTTCAGAACTGGTCGAGAAAAAAAATTAAGCACCTATCTTGCTTTACCCATACAAACTGTACCACTAGGTTCTCTCTTTATAAAGGTATTTCAAAGTAAGTTAAAAACCATTGATAGCGTTCGAATATCCTCACTTTGCAACCTTAGTGAGTTAATGGATCTAGGTGTCGATTGGCAACAGTTTCCAACGTTACAAAAAAGACACTGCAAGCCACCAGATGGATGAAAATAGAAATTCCTGCCACTCATTCTCCGCCCCCGCCCGCCCCCCAAAAAAGGGAAAGCATCTGATCAAAAGGGAATCTGACCAAACTTGTAGATTCAACAACAGCTTTTCCCCCCACAGTATTTATTAATGGAAAATGAAGTTCAGAGGAACACTTCAAAACATTTTTTTAAGTTTATTTTGAGAGTGCGAGTGTGAGCGAGGGAAGGGCAGAGAGAGAGGAAGACAGAATCCAAGCAGGCTCTGTGCCGTCAGCGCAGAGCCCGATGTGGGGCTCAAACTCATGAACCGTGAGATCGTGACCTGAGCCAAAACCGAGAGTCGGACGCTCAACCGACAGAGCCACCCAGGCACCTCCAGAGGGACACTGCAAAGGCCAGAACACGGGAGGCTCAGAGAACATGCAATCTTGTTTCTTCGACAAATTATCAGGGTGTGTATGTAGGGGGGTGGTGCGGGGTGGAGGGATAGATCCTATAAAGACAGACGCAGCTACAAGGAGATACGACTTCACACCTACCAGGACGGCCATGGTCAAAATGACGTAACAAGCGTCGGCCAGGATGTGGAGAAATCGGAAGCCATGCACACTGCTGGTGGGAATGTAAAATGGCGCGGCTGCTTGGGAAAACAGTCTGGCAGCTCTCCAAAAGGTTAACCACAGGGTTACCGTCCGACCCAACAGCTCCACCTTTAGTACAGGCCGAAGAGAAAGGAGAACATACGTCCGCACAAAGACTTGAACATGAATGATGGAAGCGGAATTATTCATACTGGCCAAAGAGTGGAAGCAACCCGAATGTCCGTCGACTGGTGAGTGCACATAAACAACACGTGGTCTATCCGCACAGTGGATTATTCTTCAGCAATAAAAAGGAATGAAGTCCTGACGCCTGCTACAACGTGGATGAACCTGGAAAACCCAATGCTGAGTGAAGGAAGCCACACACGAAAGCCACGCACTGTATGATTCTGTTTATAGGAAATGTCCAGAGTGGACAAATCCATAGAGCCAGAAAACAGGTCAGTGGTTGCCAAGGGTTGGGAGAACTGGGGGGGGGGGGGGGGGAGTGTTAATGGGTGATGAAAAAGTTCTACAATTGATTGTAGTGATACCTGCACAATTGTGAATATCCTACATACCGATGAGTTGCATGCTTTAAACAGTGAACTATATGGTACGTGAATTCGATCTCAAGAAAATGGTTACCAAAAAAACCCATCGGCGTGAAGAAATCCCATTAAATGTATATTTGGGCTGTGTTCAGTTAAAAAAAAAAAAAAAGAATGACGGGGGCCTGGGTGGCTCAGTCGGTTAAGTGTCTGACTATCCCTCTCAGCTCAAGTCTTGATCTCAGGATCGTGAGTTCAAGCCTCAAGTTGGGCTCCGTGCTGGGCGGGAAGCCTATTTAAAAAACAACGTAAAAAGCGAATGGCCCGCGAGACCACTGGAAAGGTGAACCCTGGCTATTGAATGGCATTAGAAGTCAGCAATACGTAGCTGAACAGAGAAGGTGCACATACTTAAGCCCATGTGATTACATTTTTCTTTAAACAGAGAAGGTGTATGGAGGATGGCCGCACGTGTGTTCGTGTTACTGTTCTACTCTTATACCTGTTTTTATGTTTAAAAAATGTACATTTTTATATACTTAAGCCCACGTGATTACGTTTTTCTTTAAAAAAAAATCACACATCTCCATTCTGTTCTTAAGGCAGGTTAGTTTAATTTTATAGGAGGAATACTTTCCAACAATACAAACAATGCAAGTAGGGAACAGTGACAAAAACAGAGATGAGTACTGATTACAACTTATTCCCACGACAGAAGGTTATTTCGGCAGTGACAATTCTGTGATCAGGTGACATGAAGACCAAATTCCCTTTTACTCGTCGCGCTGTTTCTAAAGAGCCCTGGTGGCAGACTTCGGATCGTCTCTGGACCAGACCTGCTGATAAAATGCGGCAGCTTTCTCATCCCACGGCACGGTTATGGTCAAGTTCAAACAGAAGATGAGAACACCCCTTACGACAGCAGGCCTTCAGTTTTCTGGCGCGTGGGGGTTTTCTAGGGGGTGGCAGTCTCAACTAGAAAGAAGCTGGAAACCCAGGTCACGAGAGACAAGCCAGTGATGGTGCTTCCTGTCCACCTGCCAGCTGGGCTGGTCTCTGTCGCCGTCCCTGTGCCCCTTCCGGCCCCTCACCCTCCACCTCCTCCATCTGGCTGGCTTTTCCTTCCTGGCGCACTCTGGTACCGTTCAGGTGCAAAGGCGGACTCTCGCAGGGACGCGGGAGAAGTAACTGGAGAGGTGACAGACGGAAGCACCCCTTGGACTGGCACCGGAATAGGGATTGAAAAAACACATGACCAACCCTGGGGTGCAGGCGCACTCCCAACAGAAACCTGCGTATGCCGGGCAGTGAGAGTTGTGTGAAAGCCCTGGGGTGAGGGCCTTCTGCATTGGCACAGGGGGTTTTCCCCACGTTGCTACTTGATGGAGGGTGCCGGAAAAGCCCCCCGAGGCCCCCCTCCCGCAGAGAGAGCTGCGTGTGGCAGCCGCTGAGGAGCAGCGGCCAGGCAGTGCCTCCAGGACACATTTGCACGGCCAGGGAGCGGTGTGCCCGAGACGGGCGTGACGTGCCCTCCACACGCCCAAGTCCGGAGGCAGGCGGTTCTCCGCTGGAGCTGAGAGTCTCGACGGCTGGGGGCCGGCCCCCGGTGTCACCTGCTCGGCCGCGCCATCTGCGGCCGGGCGGTTCTAGCAAGGACTGATGGTCTGCGCGTCTCTGCCTCTGTTGTGGGTTATGTACACAGAGAAATTAAAAAAAAAAAAAAAAAAAAAAAAGCGAGACTAGAGGCGGAAATACAGAGCAAGAGCTGGGCGCTGCAAACGCACGATCTTCAGTCCCAGCACCACTGACAAACGCCACTGTCTGTGACGGGTCTGTGTCAACGAAATGCTTTTACAAAATTCATTTTTAACACATGTAAAAAGGCAGGCAGGTTACACGAGGGGGCGGTTACAGACTAATGAGAAGGGCGAGACACTGATTAGAGGGGGCGGGGCATTTCCCAGGGAGAGGCAGAAAGATCTAGGAAGAGAGTTCTGTTTTCTTTTTACGTTCCATGTGACCCACCTCGTTTACTTCTCTGAGGCCTCGTAAAGGAGAGTGCATTTCATAGATAATAAATATGTATTAGGTGAAATACTTATATCATTTGGCATTTTAAAAGAATATTGGTATATTTTTATTACATAAATTTTTTTTTTTTTGC